AGCTCTACACCTTGTTATCTCTTTATCATAAATGTAAGGATATTCTGTTTCATTTGTAAAGAGAATTGATGAGACCACATCTCGAATAAAGTGTACAGGCTTTGGCCATCTTCTGTAAATTTATTGGAGGTGTTTCAGATGATGTTTTATGAGATTAATATCTGGAATCAGTGAGTTATCTAAGGAGGATAGGCGAGGCAGACAAAAAGGAAAAGGAGGTGGGTAAGAACTGCTGATTAAGACAGGCGAGTAATGTGATTGTAAGCAAGGATAAAAGCTGTGGTGAAGTAGAATATACATGGAACAAAAGCAGAAATTGCTGGATAAACTCAGCAGGCCTGCCAGCATCTGTGGAGAGAAATTAGAGTTAAAGTTTCAGGTCGAGTGGCCTTTCCTCGGAATGGAAACATTAACTCTGAATTCTCTCCACAGGTGCTGCCAGTAGACCAGCTGAGCTTATCCAGCAATTTCAGTTTTTGTTTCTGATTTACAGCATCTGCAGTTTTATTTTTTCGGTTTATGTAGAATATATGAGTTGAGCTTAGAAACACTAATAGTTAGTAAATGATAATAATGTTGTAAAAATACTCCAAAATGCAGGAGCAATATTGGGAAAGGTACTAGAATGGAATTTAGAGATGCCAGTAATAAAGTTAGGGCCATAATTATGGGTGACTTTAATCTGCATATAAATTGAGCAAATCAAATTAGTAGCAACAGGAGGCATTCTTAGCATGTATATGAAGCAGTTTTATGAATTAATACATCAAGGAAGCAACTGAGTATTGGGTAATGAGAAAGAAATAATTGGTAATAAAGTTGAGCATGGGTCGTTAGGAAGGAGTGACCACAATAAGATAGAATTCTTCATTAAGATGGAGTGATTTTTTTTTCTGGGATGCTGTAATTAAATAAAGAAAACTATACTGATATGAGATGTGAGCTAGCTGTTATAAATCATGGGTCAGTATTTAAATGGGTTTTGGGAGATTGACAATGTGCTATTTAAATGTTTGCTATGACCTATGTACAAAAGTTATTCATCCCTGTCTGGCATGAAAACAATATGGGAAACATGGTCAAACCATGGCACAAAAGGGAAATGCTGGTCATATTACATTTGTCAAATAAATCAACAGACATGAGGATTGGAAACAAAGACACAGGTATTGATTAAAAGGCAGAAAATAGAGTATGAGAGGATGCTTGCAGAGACCATACAAACCAATAGTCTTTTTTTTGTTCATTCACAGAATGTGGGCATTGCTGGTGAAGCCAGAATTTATTGCCCATCCATGATTGCTCAGAAGGCTGTCAAGAGTCAACTGCATTGCTGTTGGGTTGGAGTCACACGTAGGCCAGACCAGGTGAGGATGACAGTTTCTTTTCCGTAAAGGACATTAGTGAACCAGGTGGGATTTTCCCAACAATCAATGGCTTCATGATCATCATTAAACTCTTAATTAAAGATTGATAGTGAAACATTAACAAAGATGAATATAGGGTCTCTTGCAATCAGAATCAGAGGAATTTGAAAATGGGGTACAAAGTGATGGCAGACCAATGAAATATGTCTTTAATTCAGTTTTGAAGCGTGACTGGACAGGCTGGGCTGTCTACCTTCGAGCAGAGAAGACAGACACCTAACTGAGCAGTCAATACTTTTAAGGTAAGGAGCAGAAGATTTAGAGTGAATTTGAGAGGGTGGTGAGTATCTGAACTCAATGCCTACTCTGGGGTGGGGTGACGGTGAGAACCCTCAGGACATTGAAAACCCCCAGCCCAGCCACTCATTCACTGCCATTGGTCAGGGGACTAGCCCTGGCCCACATTCATTCCCATTGGTTAGAGAACTAGCAGCCCCAAAGTCCTCCAACTCCACCCCCTTTTTCCTATTGGTCCGGACCTGCTGTCAATTTCTGCTTTTGTTTCTGATTTACAACATCTGCAGTTCTTTCAGTGACCTTTCTTCAGAACTGGTCTTGAACTATTAACTTTGATTTCTCTGCACAGGTTCTGCCAGAGCTGCTGAGTTTCTCTGGCAACTTCAGTTTTTGTTTCAGATTTCAAGCATCCATGATTCATTGTTTTATTTAAGAGCATTTTGGGTACCAGTTTCTCATCACCGGATGACCCGTTTCTACCTCCTTCCCAAAATCCACAAACCA